CATGTTCACACTGACATTTCAAATTTATATTTCCAGCAGTCTATGGAGCTGCTATTCTGATATTCTTTCACTACTGTAGCTTTGGTTTTTGCCAACAAAGCAAAGCTAAACAAACCAAAACAAAGCAAAAACATTTCTAGTTTTCATAGCTATTCTGGTGGTTTTGTAGCTAGCTAGAGGAAAAGAATGTACATTTTGGGATCAGAAGTTAGGAATTCTAGTTCCAGCCCTGTTCTTTACACTCCCTGAGGCTTTGAGCATGGCATCAAAACTGTTGGAGCCTTGGTTTCCTCAGCTTGATGTGATGAAGTTCTCACTACAGCATTGTGAAGACCACAGCTTCCCATGAGCTAATAATTTAGCTCATCTGGTGGTGTGTGGGGGTTTATTCCTCTCTCACTGCTGTTGTTGAGAGACTGTGATACTATCAAGGTAGAGTGTTCTGTAAATCTCCAAAGAACTGCACAGTTTTAAAGAGTTTTTGTTTGATGTTTTGCTTCATATCTTCTTTAACTCAACAAATGCTAATTATGCCTAATTAACCTATGAGGACAAAGTCCTGAGAACTCAAAGATGTTCAGTGGATTTTCATGTTTCCTCTGACTGGAATATTAATTTCAAATTTTGTAAGACAACTGCTTGGGCTTTCTGCTGCCTGTAGAAGTTGAGGGAGCACAGGGTTGGAAAACACGGTTTCATGCTTGAAAGACATAGTCTAGTCTCTCCTGCTAAGGGATGGGGAAAGGAACCAATAACTGCCAGCAGAAAGCACCAATAGAGTTTTTAAGGAAGGTGATTCTAGTTGAAGTTAAACACTGTCAGCACCGGTCCATGTGTGAGTTCCAATAATCATGCTTTCCTTGCCCTTTCCTTTGTTCCTGATAGCCCCTCAACCTGAGGGGACCTGCCTTCCACTCCTCCAGAAAGTTGGCGGTTCAAACCCCCAGCTGCTCCCGGGAAGGAAGACAGGGCAATCTATTTCTGTATAAAGATTTGCCACCTTGAAATTGACTTGATGGCAGTGGGTTTGGTTTTTGGTTTGGGGATCACTCTGATAGTAAGTCTCTTAGGGTGCTTGTCATATTCTGCCTCTACTAAACCATAAAATCCCGGAAGAAAAGAAGTTTTTACTGATTTTAATATCCCCTACAGTATATACCTCAGAGGTGAACTGAGGGAGCTCTGGTGGCGTAGTGCCTAAGGCACTTGACTGCTAACCAGAAGGCTGGTGGTTCAAACCTACCAGCCACTCCTCGGAAGGAAGATGGGGCAATCTACTTCCGTAGTGATACTGCCTTGGCAACCCAAGGAGGGGCCGCTATGAGTCGGGTCTGACTCGATGGCACATAACAACAACAACAACATGGGAATTACTAACTCTTTGGCCTGGAGCAGCATTATTGACCCTCCCTGGGCCTTGTTTTCCTCATAGTACAGATAAGAATAGGACCTTAACTCTACAGCATTTCTGTGAGAGTTAAATAAAATTGCATGTAAGAGCTCTTGGGATATTGCTGCATTTACAGCAAGCCCTCACTAAATGTTGGCTATTGGTATTTAATAATACCTAATGGATCTTGGTTGTGCAGTGGTTAAGTGCTTGGCTGCTAACTGCAAAGTTGGTAATTTGAACCCATCAGCCGCTCTTAGGGTGAAAGATGTGGTAATCTCTTTCCATAAAGATTATAGTCCTAGAAACCCTATGGAGTAGGATTAGAAACCCTGCTCTGTCCTATAGGGTCTCTGTGAGTTGGAATTGCATCCATGGCAACAACTTTTGGTTTTCGTTTTATTGGTACTACACACCTATAACTTGAACACAAGTTTCTGGATTGACCAGGAATCAGATTCCCTGAGACATACTGAAGGACTCAGTTTGAGGAGGCATAATTCAAGAGTCACAGAGTCATGGGGCTAGAGAGCCCCCAAGACCACCCATATGCTGCTACATTTCGCACCCAGCACCTCTGGCATAAAACAAATAAAAATAAAAGTAAAAATGACCAGAGACTAGTAGGGCTGTTCCTGTAGCTGTCTTGCTCTATCCTTGCCAAAGTTATTACTGAGCCCTGATAGTGCAATAGTTAAGTGCTTGCCTGTTAACTCAAATATCAGAGGTCTGAGCCCACCACTGGTTTCATGGGAGAAAAGACCTGACAATCTTCTGGCATAAATATTATCAAAAATCAAACACTGCCATTGAGTCGATTCCGACTCATAGTGACCTTCATTGGGTTTCCAAGGCAGTAAATCTTTACAAAAGTAGATTGCCCCACGCAAGCAGCTGATAGGTTTGAACCGCCACCCTTCTGGTTAGAAGTCAAATGCTTTCAGGCACTGCAGCCCCAGAGCTAGGTAACCCTATGGGGGCAGGTTTAGTCTGAGTTGGAATGACTCAACAGCACACAATAACCACCACCGCTTGAAAATAGACTGGCTTTCACGCTCAATGACGCGAAGACCGACGAAGCATTCCACCCATGGCGCTGTACCTTCACATTGTTTCCTCAACTTAGCAGACAAGAACACCAAGGCTCAACAGTGGGGCAGCGCAGAGACCAGGGAGTGGGAAAACAGAAATAAGAGTCAGAGGGGATCAAAGAAAAAGGTAGCAACGGATGAGAAACGAGCGGAGGCAGGGAAAGTAGAAGGTAGGCAAGCAGAAATCCCAGGCTCCAGGGAGTAGACAATAGGAACGGTTAGCTCTGGACCTGTACGGTTTACAGCTTTCAGTTTCAGCCTCTAGGAAGATTAAATCATTGCTCATGAGAGAATCCAGCCGCCAGGTGGCGGTGATGTCTCAGTCACATGTTCTGAGCCCGCTGCCTACCAGGAGTCCCGTCCCCCCCCCCTTGTTTACCAAATACAACTTACTAACACAGCTGAACTCAATATTGAACAGTAACATTGGGTCATTCTTACTATGAGAGCTTTGAAGAAAAGCAACTCTAGGTACAAATAGGTGTCTTTCTCTTTATCTCGTAACTGCGATCAATCACGGATGATCACAATGGGAGAATTCTGGATTTTGTTTAAAATGACTCTTTTAAACTCAAGAAAGGAGAGGCACAGGCCCAAAGAACATCAAGTTGTAGTGTTACAGTGCTTATGCCTTTATCCATTGAAGTTTAAATGTGGGAAATAAGACCAGGGTGAATTTTCTAAAGAAAATTTTTCCCTTCTTTAAAATAAAACCAAAACCAAACTCACTGCCATAGAGTCGTAGGGTTTCTGAGGTGGTATCACTACGGAAGCACGTTGCCCCATCTTCTTTCCGAGGAGTGGCTGGTGGGTTTGAACCGTCAGTCTTCTGGTTAGCAGTCAAATGCCTTAGGCACTACACTCTCAGAGCTCCTACTATGCCCCAGAGCTCCTTCCTTTAAAATACAGATGGGTCTCTTGAAAAGTTCTTTATATTGCGTCTGCTCTGGTCTCACTGTGTAAAAGTCAGAAAATACTTTCTTCCTCAACAGGATTCAGTGACTCTTTCCGTCAGAGTTGTTGAAGAACCTTGACAATGCAAAGCCATTTATTCTTTTAGGGGCATGCCAATAATTGTTATTATTTTAATTTTTTTTTCCTCTAGCTCTGTTTTATCTCAATTTGGACAAAACTGTACACACATCCACACACAAACACAGCTTAAATTTGAGTTGGAAATGTAAAAGCTTGAGACAATGAAATGAATGGATTGCAATCTAAATGCAATCTCTATGAATTGAGGATGAGACAATCTAATATTTTAAAAAACATATGTAAAGAAATTTCATAGATTTTGAAAGCCAATTGTACATTTGAGCATAGCTAGAAAATCACTAGGCTGATGTTTCCAAATAAGTTGCTAAATATTCACTCTATTCTTATCAGACATGCAAACCCTTCAGAATTAAAAAAAAAAAAAAAAAAAAAACCACCTCTACTCCCCCCTCCAAAAAACCCTTTGTTTTAAAATAAAACCTGCAATAAAAGAAGTGAACTGTTGCCCACCACAGAAAGCTGCCAGAATTCTAACACTGAAGTCATGATTCCTGATTTCCAAATCTCAAATGGACAGCAAAATAGAACTATTTATCTTTGAAAAAGACAAACTGCTCAATTAAGTTCTTCTACTTTTACTACTTTCTATTTGATCTTGCTCCCTTGGTTAGCCCTTGCTTTGTCTCTTTTTCTCCCTTACATTCTCCTATCATCATTTTCTTTTATACTTGCTTATTTTGCACATTTTACTTTTCTCTTAATGTTTTCTCCTTTTTAAAATTTCCTGCCTCTTTTATTTTTTCCTGTGTTGTCAATTGCCTCCTTCTACTTCACTTCTCCTTTCCCTTCTTCCCTTGCCTGCTCCCTTTTCTTAACTGATCGCATTAGAGAATTAAAGTTGGTATATGTGGCTGTTTTCAATTATCCATTGAATGCAGTTTTGTATTTCAGTAGTAATTATAAAGGGAGCTCTGGTGGCGCAGTGCCTAAGGCATTTGACTGTTAACCAGAAGGCTGGCAGTTCAAACCCACAAGCCACTCCTTGGAAGGAAGTTTGGGCAATCTCTTCCGTAGTGATACCACCTTGGAAACCCAAGGAGGGGTCACTATGAGTTGGTTCCGACTCGATGGCAGTGAGTTTGGTTTGGTTTTTGGTAGTAATTATAAAAGCAAGAAAGTAGAATTTTATGTATTTCTTTCAAAAAAGGTAAATTATGTAAAAATGAGCTTCTGTGATCTCCTACACCCTTGATTATATTGTAATGGTCAAGAGTTATGCATAATAGACACAGAGAACCCGAGAGAGGGTTTGATTCAGGACATGTAGCATAGGAGGGGGGCAGGCTTTCAGCTCGCTCACTTTTTTTCCTGAGACTCTCCTAGCTCATTTGTAGTGTGTGTGTGTGTGTGTGTGTGTGTGCGCGCGCGCAGGGGAGTGGGGAGTGGTGGTGAGAAAACATAGAGGACTTTAAATCAATCTTCCTTTCTCAAGTATTCTTTGTCATGATTTTTTTTTTAAATAGGCTGATTTGCTTCTCCTATCAAGTAGTGAGCCACATGGCCTCTGTTACATTGAAACTGCTGAGCTGGATGGGTAAGTTATTAAAAGTAGAATAATTAATTAGGTTAGTTTTTAATTTAATTAGAAGGAAGGTCTTTAGAAATGGGATTTAACATTCTTTATTTCATTTTATTGGAAAAAATAGGAGTCTAAATTGCAAAGTACATTTGTTAACTACTTTGCAGATCTTTTGAAAAGTGTCTTTTCTCTTGAATTCATTTTCTTTCAGTCAGCCTAGCACGTATACACGAATAGTTTTACACAGAGACTTTTCACTGAAATCCCTTAGAAGTATTTTTTAAATGAATTTTATTGAAATATAATTTAAGTACAGTGAAATACACAAAAGTAAAGTGATGTGGTCAATGCTTTTTTTTTTTTTTTTTGGCAGTGTCGTTCCCCACCCCCCCCACCCCCCGCCCCCGGTAACCAACAAAGAAAGTTTTCTTCCATATATAAACCTTTTCTGGACTTTTTACAATGACGGACTAATGCACATTTATCCTTCTGTGATTGACTTATTTCACTCAGCATAATGTCTTCCGAGTTCATCCACATTATGCAGTGTTTTGCAGATTCTACATTATTCTTTAGTGTTGCATAGTATTCTATTATGTGCATGTACCATAGTTTGGTTATCCATTCTTCTTTTGATGGGCATCTAGGTTGTTTCCATCTTTTTGCTGTTGTAAATAGTGCTGCGATGAACATGGGTGTGGATATATCTGTTCTTGTCCTGGCTCTCACTTCTTTAGGCTATATACTTATAACGGGATTGCTGGGTTAAATGGTATTTCTAATTCTAGCTTTATAAGGAATAGCCATACTGTTTTCCACAGTGGTTGTATCATTTGACAGCCCCACCAGCAGTGTATGAGAGTCCCAATCTCTCCACATCCTTGCCAGCATTTATTTGTTGAACTTTGCCTTTAGTGCTGGGATGAGATGGTATTTCATTGTTGTTTTGATTTGCATCTCTCTGATGGCTAATGATCATGAGAGCTTCTTCATGCATTTGCTGGTTGCCTGAATATCCTCTTAGGTGACATGTCTGTTCATGTCTTCTGCCCATTTTTAATTGGATCGTTAATCTTTTTGTTGTTGAGGTGTTGGAGTTTTCTATAAATTTTAATCCCTTGTCAGATATATCATTGCTGAATATTTTTTTCCCAATCTGTAGGTTCTCTTTTTACTCTTTTGGAAACACGTAAGAATTTAGTTTTTAAAAGGTCCCATTCATCTAGTTTATCTTCAGCTGTTTGTGCATTTTGGGTTATGCTTGACAGTCTATTTGTGCCATAAATTGTTGTTGTTGTTGTTATGTGCTGTCAAGTCGGCCCCGACTCATAGTGACCCCTCCTTGGGTTTCCGAGGCGATATGATTACGGAAGTAGATTGCCCAAACTTCCTTTTGAGAAGTGGCTGGTGGGTTTGAACCACCAGCCTTCTGGTTAGGAGTCAAGTGCCTTAGGCACTATGCTACCAGAGCCCCAAAATTTTCCCTAGTTTTTCCTTGAGGAACTTGATAGTTTTAGACTTCTTATTTAAGTCTTTGATCCATCTGGAGTTAGTTTTTGCATATGATGTGAGGTACAGATCTTGTTTCATTTTTCTACAAATGGATATCCAGTTTTGCCAGGACCATTTGTTAAATAATCTCTTCTCCATTTAATGGATTTCAGCCCTTTGTCAAAAATAGCTGAAGATAGGTCAATGGATCTATTTTTGCATTCTCAGTTCTATTCCACTGGACTATGTGTCTGTCATCCTACATATACCAGGCTGTTTTGACTACTGTGGCTGTGTAGTACGTTTTGAGATCTGGGAGTGTGAAACCTCCTACTTTGTTCTTTTTCAATAGTGCTTAGCTTATCAAGGTCTCTTTCCTTTCCAAATAAAATTAGTGATTGGTTTTTCCATGTTCTTAAAGAATATTGATGGGATCTGGATTGGGATTGCATTGAATGTATAGATTGCTTTGAGTAGTAATGACATTTTCATAATGTTCCATTTTCCTATTCAGGAGTGTGGTATGTTCTTCCGTTTATGTAGATTTCTTATGAGTTCTTGGAGTAGAGATTTGTAATTTATTTTGTACAGGTCCTTTGTGTCTCTAGTGAGATTTATTCCCAAGTATTTTATTTTTTTGGCAACTATTGTAAATGGTATTGATTTCCTTATTTCCTTTTCAACAATCTCTTTGCTGCTGTAGAGGAATCCAACTGATTTTTTGGATGTTGATCTTATATCCCACAACTATGCTAAATCTCTCAATTAGTTCCAGCAGTTTTTTTTTTTTTTTTGTTGTTGTTGTTATGTTTAGTTTTGTTTTTTGTGTTGTCTCTTGGGTTTTCTATACATAGGATTATATCGTCAGCAAATTGAGATAGTTTTACGTCTTCCCTACCAATTTGTGTGCCTTTGATTTCCCTTTCTTGCCTTATTGCCCTGGCTAGGACTTCTGGTACAATGTTGAATAGAAGTGATTGAGGGCATCCTTGTCTGGTTCCTTTTTGAAAGGGGAATGGTTTCAGTCTCTCTCCATTGAGAATAATGTTGGCTGTTGGTTTTGCATAGATGCCATTTGCTATGTTGAGGAATTTCCCTTCTATTCCCATTTTGCCTGAGAGTTTTTTTTTTAATCAGGAATGGGTGTTGGTTTTTATCAAATGCCTTTTCTGCATCAATTGATATGATCATGTGGTTCTTTTTCTTTGTTTTTT